TCACAATCTTTCTGGGCTCTCAGTTTCCTTCTCTGTGAAATGAGGGGGTTGAACTTGATGACTTCTAAGGTCTCTTTCAACTCTAAATCTATGAGAAGTTTTCGAGCCACTTCTGTTCAGTAATTTTTCAGTTGTGTCTGACTCTTTGTGGCCCCATTTGGGGTTTTCTTGGCAAAGCTACTGGAGTAGTTGGCCATTTCCTTCTCTAGCTTATTTTGCAGGTAAGGAAACTGAGGCAAAGAGGGTTAAGTAACTTACCCAGGGTCACACAGATAGTAAGTGTCTAAAGCCAAATTTGAACTCAGGAAGAGGAGTCTTCCTGACTCCAGGCCCAGCACTCTATCCACTGTGCCTCATAGCTATCCCTCCTAGCCACTATACCTTAGCAAATGGGAGCAGACAATCCATCAGATGATGAATAGCTGAAGCCCAAGAGATATTGGCAGAGAGCAACTCAGGGATCATGAGACCAGCATAAACACTTGGCACAGAGTAGAGACAAGATGCACAGCCCAGGATAGCATGATGTCATCACCAAAAACCATTGGTAGTTCTATAGTACCAAAAATGTGCACTGTCCTGACCATACGTGCCTCCTAATATGTGTCCCCTACATATGGACTCTCCATGAATACATCTAGCCACTTGGGTTCCTAGCATGTGCCCCTACACACATGTTCCCTGACTACACATGTTACTTCCATGAATTCTTTCTATGTGCGTTCTCTCATTACAACCATTCTCTGTATGTATGCTCAACCCTGCTGATAATGTGGTAACCTGTAGGATTAACCACTATAACACACTATTTTTATTTAAAGTATAAAAGAATTGTGCTTTCAAATCTGAGTGTTTACCAATATGCAAAAAAAAGAAAAGAAAACATCCCCTGTTTGTAAATGCTTCTACCCAAATGAAAGAAAAAGACTCTACGTTTGGGAGGAGGAGGGAATCCAGAAATCAGCTGGGTTTTCTCTTATTTCTGCCAATACTTTGGTCTATGATTGGCTTCCAAATATTGGAAAGCCAAGTTTTTGTTTTTGATTTTGTTTTTTAAACACACACAGGTGTGTGTCTCTGTATATAATATGTATTGTGTATATTTTCAAACCATCTCATCATTGGTTAAAAAAAATATTGCCTAGGTACAGGTGGGAGGGGAAAAAAAAAACCTTCAGCCTTCAGGGTTTTGTGGATCTCACAGCCCCATGCAATTAAGGCACCATTGTTAATTTTCAAATTGTCATAAATCCATTTGAGAATTTGAAACAATTCAAAAAACAATTGTGACTGAACGAAAAGTGAATTGGGCAATCAACTGTGATGAAATCCAGCCCCGAGAAACAAAACGTGGGGAGAAAAAAAAACCTTCAAATATGTTGGAAGAATAAAAGGCATATGGAGCTGGCTGATTGTGTGGGGATGGTCTTTTAAGACCAAGGTTACTTGACAGGAAAGTAGCGGGCTCAGCTCAGCTGTCAGGGAGAGTCGGTTGTTTGGTGGAGTGCGGCAGATATTTTTGTTGCGTTAAATTGCATAATAAAAATATTGAAGCCTACCCAGATGCACAAAGATCAAGCTGCATGTTGTTTACCTAAGAATATCGGCAAACCAAGCAGCAAATCAGTAAAATCAGCCTCAGCAGGCATCATGGAGCCCTCTGCCAAAAAAACCCAGTTAATTCTGGTACCCAAAGTTGTGAGTTCTCAATCATCAAAACATGGTCCTTTGATTTCCCGAGTACTCATTCTCAGATTGAAAAAGACCTAGGTGGCAGTGTCGTCAATAGCAAAGAGCATTAAAACACTTAGATATGACCCTGTGCTAGGATGTCATTCACTTAGGAAATGTTTACTGAATTTTGGCACATTGCAAAGCATTGTGCTAGACACTGAGGCATGACAGTGATAAATGAGTCCTAGCCTCCACTCCAAAGGAGTTCATAGTCTAATAGGAAGCTAGGTGGTACAATGGATAGGGCACTAGGCACAGAGACAAGAAGATGAATTCAAATCCAGCCTCAAACACTAGCTGTATGACATTGGGTAAGTTACTTAACTTCTCTCTGCCTCAGTTTCCTAGCTGTAAAATGGAGATAGTACAAGCACCTATCTCCCAAAGAGGTTATCAGGATCAAATGAGATAATACACATGAAGCTTTTTGCAAATTTTAAAGTGCTATATACATGCCAGCTATTAAGTGACTAGTCTATCCTTCTCCTCACCTCTAATTCATCTATTTGATAATATCCTTAATTCCAGGTTTCCTCCTGAATCTCTTTTCTCTTCTTAATGTGTCAAGCCCTGCCTGTCTCTGTTGCCCTCTGACTGATACTTTATTACTTTATCTTGTTTTTTATATTTATATTTCAATTCTTTGAATGCTATGGTGTCATAACTATAATATAAACTTGTCCATCTCTATATCTCTCTACAAAGTAAAATAGGTGATTATGAGAGATGCAAAGGAGATGATCTGGGAACTCAGAATGGATGGATCATTTTGAGCAAGGGGTACCAAGAAAGGTTTCCTGGAGGAGGTGGTAGCAGAGTTGTTTGGAAGAATGTCAATAATAATAATAGTAATAGTAGTAGTTAGCATGTACATAGCACATTAAAGTTTGCTAAGTACTTTGCACACATGATCTCCTTTAATCTTTACATCATCCCTCAGGGCCAGGTGCTATTACTAACCTGATTTTTCCAATGAAGAAATTGTGTCTAAGAGACATTAAGTGACCTATGAGCTAGTAAGTGTGTGAGGCTAGATTCCAACCCAGGACTTCCTGACTCCCAACTTCAACACTTAGATTTCAACAGGCACCTCACAAATACTAAGTGTTTCCTGGGACCAAATCTAGGCTTCTGGTTTTATCTTTTAAAGCCCCTCACAGCCCCAGCATCATTTTCTAACCTTACCACTACCCTTCAAGCATTATATAGTCCATCCAACTGGCCTCCTTCTATTCCTAACATACCACATTCCACTTCTTGTCTCTGTCTCTCCTGTCTTTGCATTGGTTCTACCCTCTGCTGGCTGTCTGCTGCTCACTTCTGCCTCTCAGAATCTCTCAGTGCCTTCAAAACTCTACCCAAGTCTTCATGAAACCTCTCCTGATCCCTCGAACCACAAACCCTCTTCCTGGAAATTTGCCTCACATTATTTTGAATATATTTTTTTATGTCCATATTTTTCTTTTCTAATAGAACATAAGCTCCTTGAGGTCAGGGACTTTTTCATTTTGGTCTTCATCTTCCCTGGGCTCAGCAGAGTTATATGGCACAGAGTAGTTGATCAATAATGAGGACTTGACTGATACTAGGCATACCAAAATGAAACAAGTAACAGCTCTCAAGGATCTTAAATCTAATCCAGAGGGAGAAGGCATACGAACAGTTAACCATAAGATATAAATGCATAGGAATTATAACTTCATAGGAGCTGTCCAAAGTGGACATGAAGTCTGGGTTTCCATTCAGTCCATGGCAGTGCTGGATCAGTGAAGCAACAGAAACTCAGATTTCATTTCCATGCCCAGCTGAGACTACATATCTAAAAAGAACCAATAGAGCAACATCTTAGGTGATGTTACACCCAGTGGGGAACAGGCCCAGTGAGAGTGCTATGACATCATGAGAAGACATCAGTGGTCCTGAAGGACTAGAGGTATGAATCAAAGCCCCGCATGTAGGCCGTGGCCAGATTCTCATTTTCTCTGTGCATTTCTTCCTCACTTATGATGACTATTTGTGCCCACTGCTCCCACTGAGAACATATATATTTGTGGGAGAGGTGTTGTTGTTATTGTTTGTTCTAGATCTGGGGTGAGAATTTTTAATAGCAACTTTTCTTATTCTACTACTTCATTAAATGCCTTTGCTTTGAACTAATTTTGTCTGATAGTTGGTCAGGAAAAAACAAAAGTAAATGTACTGGGGAGAGGGGAGATATGAGCTGCGGGTTGGAATCAGTTGTGAGCCTTGTTGCAATTAGCCAATTTCACCTTTGATCACTAGTGATGGGAGAGGGACAACTCAAAGATCAGGGTCTATGAGAAGTGATAAAAGGAAGGGAAGAAACAAGCATTTATTAAGCACCTGCTAAGTGCCAGGCACTGTGCCAAGGACTTTACAAATGTTATTTCATTTGAGCTTCACAACAACCCTGAGTGATAAGTGCTATTATTATCCTCATTTTACAGTTAAGGCAACTGAAGCAGGCAGAGGTTAAGTGACTTGCCCAGGGATACACAGCTAGTAAGTGTCTGAGGCCGGATTTGAATTTAGGTTTTCCTGACTCCAACTTCTGGATTCTGCCTACTACACCACCTAGGAATGGAGGAAATGACTAAGAACTTAAGTTTCATTTCTCAGGGGGCATCTTAGTGTTGAGACAATGACAAAAACTGGAGGGATCTATCAGTCTATTAATGATTCTATACATGGTACCAGGAAGCAATTGGTTCTATGAAAGGCATCTTTAGCTCCTGGAAGGGGAAGGATAAAAAAGGAAAGAGAAATCCCTTATCCCTCCCTTGATGCACTTCAGTATTTAGAAAATTCAAGGAAGAAAGAACATTAAAGAAGCAAAGCTGGCCTTTTAGCTCTCCTTTATAAGTGAAGGGGCTTACAAGATAATTTCAAAAGGGAGAGAGTATCTATTACTGCAGATGCAGAAAGGCTTTGAGGAGGAGTTAGCCCCTGAGCCATACTTTGAAATGAGCTTGGATTCTCCAAGGCCATGGTGCATTCCAAACATAGGGGACCACTTGTAGGTAGGAGATGAAATGTCATCTACAGGGAACAGCTAGGCATTTATGGAACAGGCTATTATAAAAAGAAGGTAAGACTTAGACTTCAAAAAGTCAAGCAAACATGCGGCATTTTAATTTTACAAATAATCCACCATACAGTTTTCCATTGAGCTTCTCTGCCAACCTACCCTTCTGAGCCTTCAACTCAGAGAAGTAACAGGACTTTCTTTCACTTTCTTCCTGTAGCTGGCAGATAGAAGTCTGAATATGCAAAAGCCTATATGCTGTAGACCCCCAAATCAGTAAGTACTCAAAATTGTGTGCAAAATATGAATAAAATATTGATTTCATTAAAAATGTTAAGGACTACTTAATTCCAAAACATTTTATATGTTTGCATATTTATTTCCAGATTTGCATATTTGTTTGCATATAACTTGTAAAGACGAATGTTAATTATACTTTGAAATCATTTATAAATTGTAACTCGGAATGTTGTATGAATTTTTAAAAACCACCAAATTCTCAAGTACCGCTAATTACGAAGTGCCATTTAACGTACGCTGGAGTAGGCCTCATATTGAAAAAATATTGAGTTCTTGACAAATAAAAAAGCAGGATTATTAACTGTACTCGTTGATTAAGTGATACCTCAGGCAATCGAAGTTTAAATCATGTTTTGCTTATCCAAAGCAACTATTTGCTCTTTGCTGAATGATGCTGAGGGATTCATGTCCCCAACCAGAAAGAAACGCGACCTCGTGCTTCCATGTTATTTCACCCTGAAGTCTAGACCTGGGAAAATTATTCTCCTCTTTTAGCTCAACTTTTCCAGAAAATGACACTGAGGAAGTAAACAGGAATTATCGTAAACAAGCCTGATGCTATACGGCTACCTCTGCAGGGCCTTGTGTCAAATGAGGTGAGCTGAAAAGATTTGACTGTACGCTAATTGGATTTGTAAAATGATTCCGAGTAATTTAAAAAGCATTTACACAAGGTCAGATCTGAACTGGTTTCTAAAAAGAACCATACAGAAGAATGAAAAGTCTAGGTAATTATACCGGACATGTAGATCTAACATAGTATCTATTAAATTGGGCATGAAATTGGACTTTTTTTAAGTACTATGGGTCTCACAGTATAAATCTCCAGGCCAGTTTCTTATATTTTTGATAAAACGTGTAATTATCCCCAGCACAGATCTGCTGAATAAAGGATCCATTGCCCATGCATCATTTTTCCTAAATTAGCAACTATCGTAAGACAGTTTTCTTTACAAAAAAAAAAAAAAGTAGCCATACTTTCCACTGATTTCATTTCAGCCTCTCCCAGTATCAGCAATAAAACCCATAAACAGAATCAGTTCAGCATTTTACCCTCTCCTATTAATTTGGGGTTGTTTTATTTTAAAAAAAAAAACTACTGCAGAAAAGAATGAATGCTGAATTATTTCATGCTTTCATATTATCAGTGTCCTATCTGAATTCATCCTAATATAATTGGAGATAAAGTATATATGGAGATAACAAGCTGGAACGTTCCATGCATGCTAAATAACATTTATCATACTAGCAGAACAAAACCCAGATCTAACAAAGTATTTGATATTAAAAGACATAAGTAAACAAATTAGATTGTACATTTGTATTTTTTTCCCTAGGTATTAATCAGTCCCAGATAGCCCCATTACATTTTACTCTTCTCCTCTGAGTTAATAAGAATTTAGATTTCTAAAGTCAAAAGAAAAAAAACTGTCTCCCTCTACTGGGGAGATGATCAGAATTTTGTTTTTAGCTGCACTCAGTGAAACCAAGCTATACTGTGCTGGAAAAAGAGAATTCTTGGAGAGCCACATTTGGGTATCCTTTAAAGGATATTAGAGAATGTAATGGTCAGAATAAACACCCCAAAAGTCCAAGTTCACATATGACCCTGATGTTTTTGCAATTCAATGAAGAAAAGTGAGCTAATGCATTTATTTGTGTGTGTGTGTTTCTTTTTTGGAAGGAGGAGAAGGAGGAAATCATAAGACCATAGATTTAGAGCCAACTTTAGTCCAATCCTCTCTTTTTTACAGATGAGGATGGAGGTTCAGAGAGATTAAATGATACCTGGGGGGAATAGAAGGGAGGAAGGGGCTAGTACCAGGCACCGTGCTCAGTGCTTTACAATTTTTATCTCATTTGTTTCTCACAACAATCTTGCAAAGAAGGTGGCATTATTATTCTCATTTTATAGCATTGGAAATTGAAGCAGACAGAGGTTAAGTGACTTGCCCAGGGTCACACATTATACCATGGATTTCACAGTATATATCTCCAGGCCAGGTCTTTCTGACTTCAGGCCCAGAGCTCTATCAACTGTATCACCTGCTGCCTCTTAAAGGCTCAGGTTTTCCTGACTGCAAGTTCAATATTCTGTCCATAATGACATGCCACTTCTCCAGAGCAGGATGAGAAAAAAGAAAAAATTAAATGAAAGAGAAAGAGAGAAACAGAGAAAGGGAAGGACAGAGAGAGAGAGAGAGAGAGAGAGAGAGAGAGAGAGAGAGAGAGAGAGAGAGAGAGAGAGAGACAGAGAGAGAGAGAGAGAGACAGAGACACAGAGAGAGAGAGAGACAGAGACAGAGAGACAGAGACAGAGAGAGAGAGAGAGAGGAGAAAAGAATCAAAATAACACATAGAAGAGTGACTACCACATATTAGGCACTTAAAAATGTTTGTTGAATTAAATTCAGTCATAGGATTTAGGGCCTTAGGGACTGTTTAGTCTAACTACCAAATTTTATAGAAGAGAGAACTGAGGCATGACAATCATTCATGCATAGAATCATGGTTTCAGATTTGAAGGGAACTTAGAGATAATCTCAATAAGCCCCTTTGCCTCACAGCTGAGGAAACTGAGGCCCAATGAGCTTAAGGTGATACATTGTTGAGGCTTCGTAACTCATGATGATATATGTCACTGAATGCACCAGGTCCAAACTGGATTTCCAACTTTCAGGCCAAGAGGACTGCCTAAAGAGGAGGCAAGGGATGAATAAGACCACGCAGCACCGATATATCTACTATAACAAAAATCTGAAATCTATACCAAACTGTATAATGACCAAGAAATCCAATGAGAAGCAATAGTATTTACCTTCTTCAATCTAGAACTGAAAAACAATAGCATAAGCCAAAATCCCATGAGCAATTAGAAACTCCACCTTACCCTCAACAAAGCCAGAGCCACTGCCTCCCAATAGGATCAGAGAGAGGATAGGTGTAGTCTATAAAGCTCTGTGTCCAGAGGCAGTAAGAACAGAGGACTCCCCTAAGAAGCCCTAAGATGTTCAGAAAATTCCAGAGTGGTTGTAATCAAAGCTTTGGAGAGTGCCAGCAGCAGAAACCAGAGACCAAGGAGTGGCTGCAGTTCTCAAACTGAAACAACTCAGACACAAGCATTTTGAGGTCCCTTATACTCTCTTGAGATGTCAGAGAGAGCCTTAAGAATCCGATACTCTGAACCTCATTGATCCAGGCAGAGTTCAAAGGTAGAGGTCAGCACAAGACCTCATGAACCAAAGACATGATCAGACAGGACTGATCAGCTCACTCCACATCCCAACATGGGGCAGAGCCTGGCCCTGGCAAAGTTTGCAGCTCAGGAACTAACCCTGGAGATATGACTCAATCAAAGAAAACATGAAACAGTATCAAAAACTGGTATAAATTTAGAGATCACTCAAAAGAAATAATGAGTATAAATGTAAACAGAGACTCAAAGAGGGGTGGGAATGAGAAATGAATTTTCTACAAGGACTACTTGCACATCTTTTTTTTTTTAATGAAGCAAGTTTTTTTTTTTTAAATGAAAGAAAATCTCTGGAGGAAAGAATTAGAAACAGAATGTACAGCTTAGAAGAGGAAATGGGAAACATTACTCAAGCAAGTGACATGCTAAAAACTAGAATGGACCAAAAAGAAATCAGTGACTCCAGGAGACAGCAAGAAAAATTAGGACAAAATCAAAAACTATAAAATGTAAGATATCTGATAATAAAAAAATAATAAACTCAGAAAACAGATCAAGGAGAGATAATTTAAGCACCATTGGGGCTCCCTAGAAACCATGATTTTTCTTAAAATAGTCTGGACACTAGATTTCAAAAAAAAAATTATCAATGAAAAGATGCCCAGATATATTAGAACCAGAAGGCAGGCTAAAGATGAAAAAAATTCATCAATCACCATGTAAGGAAAAGAAAAAAACAAAATCAAAAGGAAGAATCCTGGGAACATCATAGACAAAATCCAGAGCTCTTATATCAAAGAAACACATTTCAAGTATCCAGAAATAAACAGTTCAAGTACTAAGTTTCTATAGTCAGAATCATACAAGACCTGCCAGCTTCTACTATAAATGAGAAGAGATCTAGGAATATAATATTCCAGGATACAAAAGAGATAAACTTGAATTAAGAATAACTTGGCCTACAAATCCAAATAAAATCCTACAAGGAGCGGGGGGGAATGGATCTTTAATAGAACAGATGAATTTCAAGCATTTCTGATAGAAAGATCAGAGCTAAGTAGGAACTTTGATGTACAAATGAAAGATCTCAGATAAACTTGGGTAATTTTATTTGGATAATTAGAAGGAACCATATCATGAAGTAATGCTAACATTGTATTTTTTAATTTTGTTTACATTCAACAAACATTTGTTATATGCCTACTCAGTTTAAGGCACTAGGTTAGGCTCTGAAAATATACAGAAAAAAAATAGTTCCTGCCTTCAAGAACCTTAAATTCTACTGGGGGATATAAAGGTCAAACAACATAAGTTTACAATAATATTTGATCATTTGAAAAGAGAGCACCAACAACTAGAGGGACCATTGAAGATGAAAGCTCTTTTGAAAACATTCTAATAGGAGAAGAAACAAGTGTCCCTTCAGAACTTAAATGTCTTCAAATCATATTGAGGGGATTAAATAAGAAAAGCAGAGGTCTGGGGGTGGGTTGGTCCTGTTTTGAAGGATTAATAGAGGAAAGAGAAGGGAGGGTAAGTGGAGGAATACTCTGATATATAAAGAAGGGAAAATGGGGAGAGATTTGCTATTTCTCATTACTTTGCTATTTTTCATCATTTAGGGTATATGAGAAGAATATTCAAACATGGAGGAGGGGTGAGCATCAGATGAAGCTCACTCATCAGAAACGGACAGAGAAGGACTGAAAACACATACACACACACACACACACACACACACACACACACACACACACACAAGCAGTTTTGTGTAGAAACACAT